TCTCTGGTGTAATGCAGAATGTACCTCTGATTGAGTGGGGGAAGCTGCCAACGTGTTCATCATTAACCATTGGACTGAAACACAGTGACTTACTTATCATTCTAAGTCTGAAAAGAGAGAATTATTTGTGTTTTGTTTTTTTCTGTATTTATTTGAAATACGCTCAAATATGATTTTCTTGCTCTCCCTAATTATACGAGGCCATGGAGGCATGTGCAGGAGGTGTGTTTACCTTTTGTACTGTGCAATATTATGACATGTGTCAGGACTTCTTGCCCAAATGCCTTATGAGTATTTTGCACCTGTTTGAAAGATTAAAAGTGCATGTTTTGAAAACAAATTAGGGCTCAAATTCTCTTTTTCTCCTAATCCCAGTTGTGTGGTCTCTGTATATATTTCAAATGAAATCCATATTTACGATAAGCTAAGCTGGGACCATTCAACACATCTTTGGAAAAAAAAAACAACACAAATGGGTTACTCTGATTTACTGTCTGTGTACCAAAACAAATACTTTGCTCCACAAGTCAGTAAAGTAAAGTGTATTTGTAGAGCACCTTTCATAGATACAGATCACAAAGTGCTTTACATGAAAACAAGTACACAATCAAACAAAATAGCTAAGAACAATATAGAGCGCAGGGCTGATGGTTAAAATCACAGCAACAGTAAAACAAATGAGAACAGTGATGCCTAAAAATGCAAATGTCACTGAGATATAAAACTAAAATAAATATGACAATAGAAGCAGTAACTTCAGTATGCTAGTCCGAATAAAAACATTTCCAGCTGCTCTGTGATGGTATTACAGGAATTTAAGGACCACATAGAAAAAGGGAGCGCATTCCAAAGACTGGGAGCAACGTCTTGAAAAAGCACGGTCACCTCATGTTTTTAAAGCGGGTACGGGGAACAGCCAATAGATTTGGGTCAGAAGACCTGAGATAGTAAGGGAGAAGGTGCTCAGCTATGTAGTATGGTGTTAGACCATTTAGGACTCTAAAATTTAGCACAGGAGCGTTAATTGGATGCGAAACCTTCTGTGGAGCCGACGCAGAGATGACACAACTGGTGCGGTGTGTGACCTCTTGTTATTTCCTGTTGAAAAAGCTCAGCTGCTGCGTTTTGGACAGTTTGCAGACGGTTTAGGGCAGTCCGGTTGAAACAGGTAAAAATAGCGTTCTAAAAAAAATCTAATTGAGAGGAAACAAAAGCATGAATGATCCTCTCTCCATTTGGACCTCAGTCACAACAGTTCTTAGTTCAGCGACATCCAAACATGCTATGATATCTTTACACTGAGACTGTTTGTTTACAATGTTAACTGCTAGAAGTTTAAATGCCTTAAAAAAAAAAAATGGCACTTTTTCATTGAATGGTTTGCCCACTGTAATGTACCGTGAAATAAAGCATATTTTCTACTTGTTTCAAAGTTTGTTTGCTGTTTTTGTTTGAATTATGTAATACTCCTCATTGGTATACTGAATAAAAAAATGTGGTCAAACTTTTCCTGTTAAATTCTTACTTCAGTAATAATGAATGAAAACGAGTTATTATTAAAGAAAAAGCTGAACTATTAATACAGAAAACTGTATCGACAATCTATGCATTATAACCAGACTGTAAATATTAATGGATGAAGCCTGAGTGACGTCACCCATCTGTTACAGCAGGGGGCTTTGGAGTCCCATCCATGGCGGCCGCCATGCTGGAAATGCTCTCAACCTAACTTTCAGTCAACCTAACGTCAGGCTGAGAGCTGAGGCGGGTTTTAAGCTTTGTGACGTTGTGTTACGCCTTGCACGCCTGTCAATCAGATCAGCTAAATGCCTTTTTGTGATTAACACTTATCCTTCATGAAATCGAAACGAATGCGTCATAAAAAAGATTCCAACCCCCCTACAGTGTGTGCCGATCGAGACATGAGCTAATCAGACCTGTTTCGTTTTTTGAACCAAGCTGTAAACATGTTAATTTGTGCTGTAAAAACTCTTCACTTCTTTTTTTTTTTAAATGAGGTCTTTATGTGACTTCCTGTGCTTCTGCAGCCAGCCGCAAGCGGACACTGGACAAACTGCAGGATTTTGCACTTCCGCATTGGCTTCATTTTTCATCACCGGAGGTTCCTGCTTGATTATAACACACAGTAGTTTGAGAAATAATGTTATTAACATCACATCTAAAAAAATGCCTTCTAATTGATATATTTTGTCAGTGAAATGCAACAAAAAAAACTTCAATGTAAAAGCACACATCCTTCTCTTGCCAGCAGGTGTTACAGATCTTTTGAGCGTCTTTATCTTCATCTCTTGGTGCTGACATCATGGAGCCACAGCAGCTCTACAGCAGTTCCTGGGTCTCTTGTCTACATGCATGCACTGATGGGGATCTACCTACACCAGCACACATATTTTAAATGTCTCCACATGGTGTTCTGTTCTGAGAAGACAGATTACAGAAGATACGGAGCGATATGCTAAGCAGCATTTGTGTGTCCACTCATGCAGATCTGAAAGTGTAAAACCGGTTCTTCAATTCGTCCTTGCAGTCGCTGTTGATGTGTTTGTAATTATTTACAGGGGAGGTGTGTGTTTACAAAGAGGTGGAGATTTCCTGTCACAGTGGACCAGACCTTCTTCTCGTATCCTGTTATTGGGGCTATGGGGAAAAAACAAAACAAAATCAACAACCCCTTCCTGAGTTTTCCTGAATTACAATTTCCTGCGTTTCTTTGACTCAGTTCTCTATGGAAGAGTATAAAAGTATCTCAAGATTATGTCACATTTAAGCATCATTTGCACAACAAAAATGCATTTTTTTTTTCATTTGCAGAACATTTGCAGATGATATTTGCACTTTTTTGAAAAGGCTCCAAGTAGACAACAAAACATCCAAACATTACTTGTGACTAATTGACTCATAACTTTCCTTTTGACACATGTATGAAAGGTTTTGATGAGTTACAGCCTTTTGTTGTTCTTGTAGTAGTGCATGTATAACCCAAAGCATGTAAGAATAAACAGCAGGACATTTATGAGCTCTTTCAGATTTGTATTTTTTTTGCACTTTGCTCCTTCTGCTGGAGAATTCATTAACTGCATGTCAACCAAACGGCTAACTCACTACCTCTTCCCTCTATATATGTTCTTGTGTAAAAGCAGCGATGTCATCATTTGCATGTTTCAGTTCTTCTGCGAGATTGCTGCAGTCTGTGACTTCGCAGCCACCACACGCCTGATTGTGACTCCAAAGTGAACTACTGTAAGTGGCCCCACCACTGCTGATCTCTGCTGCCCAAACAGTGACATCAGCCTCCTGTCTATTGGCTGCAGACTGTCAGGCCATCCTCTCCCCGGCTTTAACACCTCGGTGTGGGGGTGGTCAGTCACACTGCTAGAAAGTGATCACACATTTCACTGGGGTCAAACACGGAAAGTTTTGGGGTGGTGATAGGAAACTCGTATGACTCGTTCGAGCGTATCAGAGATGAAGTTGCTTCTCGTGGGCGCGTTTTAAAGAATTTGATATTGTTGCTTCTAGAAAATGATACATTGTATTCATTTTCTATGATATAACATGTGTTTGGTATACATTTTAAATGCAGTCTCGACCAGTTTGCACTCACATTTGTGCAAACTGTGATCACATTTGCATAAAAGGCAAAACATTTAAAACAGTTACGGAAATTTGCTGCGCTCTTTTTTTTATGATTATTCTTACCGTTGAAAAAAAAAACCAGTTTCCCCAGCATAATAAACCAACAAACTGGATCCTTCTGGTATCTCTTTTTACTTGTCATTCCTCTTTAAATCTTAATCCAAAAACATCCCTCAGAAGCCCCCACCTCATCCCCTCCTCACCACCCTCCAAATCACTTTTTTCTCTAATCCTAATTTGCACACAAGAAGATTGCTAAAGGGCTGCCTGCGCCAAAGGAAAGGGTCCTAAGGGTCAGACGGGGTTATTGGAGAATAACCCTTCATCCAGTGTTAGGTAGGGACCGTCTGGATTAGCGATGCAAATGTCCCCATTGCCTATCTGATCAATGGCGTTAACTCCATCATGACGTATCTCACTCAAGGGAGATTTTGCTCTTTTTAATTCGCTGGGCAACTAACACAAATTAGATGTTAACACTTTGCACTATTAAAATAATGGAGGACAACAAGACACAAAGCACTGAGCCTTAAAATGTAGATAATGAAACCATTTTTAAAAGGATTACTATGTAGGCTATGTGAATTAGAAATGAAGGCAATAGCCTGTATTAGGCAGATGATTTGCAGGTGTCCGAAATGATGATAAATTATACTTTATTTCAGACCCATAGGTCCATATTGTTCAAATGTCATCATGTTCAATTCTTGATCTGTGAACAATGTGTTGGATACCCTATCATTTTTCACCTAAAAATCCACCTGTGTGCTAGTTGCCTTTTGAGAAATGTTTTTTTTTTTTAATTATCATGACGCAGTAATAAATTCATGACTGTCAGGCAAAGCATTTGAAAAGAGAAGTAACACGTTTGAGGTCAGTTTTATCTCACTTATAGGCCACTACTCGTGTTCCTGGTTGATCAACTTTGATGCAATCACACCTTTGTGAAACCCCGATATACTTCCGCAAGAACAAACGGCGTGGCCCTATTTTTTATTTATTTATTTATTTATTTTTGTTCCTATCAAGCTAACAATTCATCATCCAGATGACTATCTTCCGCTAATCCCTTCATGTTAGATAGCTTAAATAAACTCTTTTTTTTCCCGAGCAGGAATTCAAGGGATCAGTGTTACACTTTTCCTAAAGGATTAAACAGATCTTCCTTTGCTGTTGAATGGAGGCAGGGAACCCACCGTTGCCCGGCCCTGAAGGCCCAGGGTGCCCTTTTGATCATTTCAGTCTCTCCTCGGTGCAAAACTTCTGATTGGTCCGGAGAGTAAGAAGGGGGAAAATCTTTAATTAAGCAGATAATCTCTTGTTGGGGACGAGAGCAGCTCCATTTCAGAGCCCCCTCCTTGAGTCCTGGAAGCCCCTGCAGAAGTTTCATGTGCTGCTAGCTGCTCAGTTTCCTCTCCATCGTTGGACCGTCTGCAGGCTCTGGACTGGATCCCTCTCACCTGTCAGGATGTTCATGCATTTGGAGGCTTTCTATTACATCTTCATTCTCCTGGCTAACATGAGGTCCTGCTACTGCTGGTGAGTTTGACTTATTTAGAATTATTGCTTTTTTTTTTTGCAGACTAATTTCATTTCCCAAAGATGTTCATCTGCAGTCACCTCATTGCAGTGGCAAGTGTCGACATATATTCAAAGCAATTACTTATTTATGTCAGGATGAAGATGTTTCAGTTTTTTATTTTCTTGTCAGTAAGAGTATGTTTGATAAGGCGTTCCTTAACCCTTAAATTATGTGAATGAAAATTAGAAAACTACTTAAATAAGGAACTTTATTGTTCACAGAAATTGTAAATTATATTGAATTCCCCAGTAATCCTATGGCTTTTTAATATGATATAAAATAAGTTTATAAGCTGTAAATTATGAATGCTGAAAAAAACATTTTGTTTCGCTTTAATTTATAAGCCAACCATAACAAAAACTTTTGGGTTGCCAGGTTGTGAAAACTCCCTTTTCCTTTTATTCAACCACTGAACATCTTATTTCCAAAGCATCCATAGGATTAAATCATTTTTCCTGACCTATTACCATTCAGAAAGAAAGATTCCACAGTCTAAGAAGATGAGAAACACTGGCGCATTTATAGAAGGACAACCAACATCTATAGCTACATCTCAAATACCAGCCAGAGGCATTTTTATTAAACTGTTAACCCTGAATTTCAAGTCATGAAGTGTTACTACCAAGCACTCTTTGTCCCTAATTTCTGACATTTCTAGAAACACATTCAGTAGTTTTCATCACTGAGGTGAGACGGGTGTCACGGTTTGAAAAATGGTCAACAAATTAAAAATAATAAAAGACGTTTAGAAAAGGTAAAAGGCATGAGGAGATTTTTTTCTGTTTGAGTTGCCAGGTTGTGGAAATCTGATCGCTGACTTATAGAGAAGCGCTGCAGCTGATCTCGGACAAAATCTGTTTATGAACAACGTATAATCCTTTAATGTATTTAATCCTTTGTTGTGAAGCACTTTGTGATGTCTGCTTTCAAGAGGTGCTTTATAAATAAACTTTACTTACTTACAAACACTTCAGTTTCTTACACAATGCATTCAAATATTACATTTGTGACTTATGAGCATTCCTCTCTTAGCATTTATCTGAAAGTGAGCGATTAATAAATGGATTACCAACATTTAAAGCTACATTTTAAACATCATCCTACAGGTTTTTTTTTTTTGCAAACTGGCAACCCCCAAATTCCAAATAGCTCAGAGTGAATAACAGTTTTGAAGCACGCTAACCTCAATTCTTACATTTCTAAAAAGGTTTTAAAAACAAATTCAGGGTGTTTTTTCCACTGAGGTTTGGTCTGGTGTCACGGTTTCACATGTTACAAAACGCACTAATGAGAGATGTTAGCGGAGGAATTTGTGGAGGACACTGAGCTTCCCTGAGTGAATAAGCTTTCTCCTTTTCCAGGTCAGTGAATAATTTCCTGATGACTGGACCCAAGGTAAGCCAACTTTCTTTTGATCTATCTCCCCATCCTTTCTCTCTCCCCCCTCCCTGGTAAAAAAGAAAGAAAGAGAGGAAGAGCCATGTTGTCTTCATGTTGTCTTTGTGATATCCTAACTTAAGAGTGTTGGCACCTGTCTGTTATATCAGTGATATTCTCGGCCCCTTTGTAATCCCCCCCCTCTTTGGTACACTTGACCTTATTCAGAGGTTCTGTGTATCTGCAGCTTGAATGTTTTAAGAGGCCGGGGCAGGCACGGCTGTAGTGGGTGGTCATCATTAGTGAGCCGGACCCCTGTGAAAGAGGAGGTACTCCATCTCCCCAAAGGCCACTTGAGACATATTAGTTATATTATCGTTCACACAGTGTGAAGAAGCAGCGGAGAGGCGAGCCCAAAGCCAAGGACACATTGCCATGGTTAAAGGGAGACCCAAACTGCATTCAAATGAAGTGCAGTGATGTTTGTGCCGAGTTTGAATCACTTCACATGGATGTTGTCATTGTAGCCAATCAACATGATCCGAGTCTGCAAAACATTACGCACTTGTAGAGACGTGTTATCCACCTTCCATTTAGTCTTGGTCAGGATAGACTTGTCTCAAGTGACGCCAGTTGAAAGATGAAAATGTAGAGGATGTTGAGATTTAGCCAAGGCACCATATGTGGATTATTTCACATCTCAAATCTTGTTTTATCAGTTTTTCTCAGATCTGCCTGACATTGTCTGATTTGTTGAATCACAGACTGATCACTCTTAAAGTGGCATCTGCCAGATTTTGGTCATTTCCCCCAAAAATGACTTTTGATATTCTGCTTATTTTGGTTTGCATTAAATAGGCAGAATACAACCAGTCACTTTTTTTGCACACGTAAAACCTTCATACAGAAGTTGTTATCTAGAGTGGATGTATCTTTTTGTCAAAATGTTCCAAATACCTCAGGAAAAATCTTAACCTCAAAAAGCACATCTGTCATAAATGATTAAAAGACGGGTTTAATATTTTATTGCTGAGTTGTTGTTTTTTTTAAGTCTCCATGTGTCTTTGGGTGCAGGCGTACCTGATCTACTCCAGCAGTGTGGCGGCAGGCGCTCAGAGCGGCATCGAGGAGTGCAAATACCAGTTTGAATGGGACCGCTGGAACTGCCCCGAGAGAGCTCTGCAGCTGTCCACGCACAGCAGCCTGCGCAGCGGTAAGACCCGAGTCCCCTGACACCCTTAAGACCCCTCACCATCGACCAGACAATCTCTACACTGCAGAAAGGCTAATGGAGATTCGTGCAATTTCAAAGATGTTTTGTCACTCTCTGCGTCTGTTTTTAGCAAGCAGAGGGAAGGGTTTTATTCCTTTTGTGAAAAAGAGATGTTTGCCTAGTCTAAACCCTCCCCCCCCGCCCCCCGCCCCCCTCCATCCCTTTGGGATACTTACAGTGGGCACGGTTGCTAGAGGCACAACAAACCCACTAATCCATACCACAACATCCCCGAGAATCACTGCCTCTGTTTACAACTCATTAAAGCAACATACAGAGTCCTGTAAAACAAAGGGTCAGATGTGTTTGGCAATTAAAAACTCACTTCATGCACGCACAGTTTACATGAATAGACCCTGTTGGGACCAGTGCTACTGCCTGAATGGAATACTTTAAATTGACTAATTAAGCTTTTTAAATGCTTTTATACATACATTAAAAGTCTGACAAATTATGCAGTTTTAATGACTCTAATAACTGAGAATTGAGTGAGTAATAAGACATGTACTGTTCCAAGCCTACAATGAGTGATTGATTGATTTCTAATATTTTCTTACAAAGTCGGACATTCTTCTTGCATCACATCAGTTACAATATAAAATACATACTACTACTATCTTAAAACACAGAATTCAAAGCCCTTGAAAGTACTTCAGATCTGGGGTTTAGTTCCATATCTCACTGTTGGATAGACTGCTGTACAAAGTCAGTCAAACCAGTTTCAGATTGAGATCCTTGAGTCCTGGTTTGATGGTGATAAATTATATTCAAAGCTCAGAAAATGGTTGAAGACGGTGTTTTTTTTTTGTCAGGCTGTGAACAGGTATATTAGTTGGAGCAGTTTAGACTTCACAGTAGCGTTAACAGCGATCCATGTGATGAGACAATGTTGTTCATGAGTCTTTCTGTTGACAGCTAATCGGGAGACAGCGTTCGTTCACGCCATCAGCTCAGCTGGGGTCATGTACACTTTAACCAGGAACTGCAGCCTCGGAGACTTCGACAACTGCGGCTGCGACGACAGCCGCAACGGACAGCGAGGTCAGAGGAACGCACCGACCACACCAGAGGTCGTATTAACGCTAAAAATAGAACGATAATTCATCACTGAACTCCTTTTTCCTACACCCACAGGTGGTCACGGTTGGCTCTGGGGCGGCTGCAGTGACAACGTCGGCTTCGGCGAGGCCATTTCCAAACAGTTTGTCGACGCTTTGGAGACGGGGCAGGATGCAAGGGCGGCCATGAATCTTCATAATAACGAAGCCGGCCGTAAGGTACAGAAGGAGCTCTGATACTATAATGTTTGAAGCATGTTGTATTGAACTGGGCGGCAGCTTGCTTTACATTTTGAGACTCTAGCCGTCTAACTGATTCCACGGTGTGAAGCACCTTTTGAATCAATCTTCCCCGCTCAGAATGACCCTGAGTGTGCCACCCAAGCATCCCTTTCACCGTGCTATAAGTGAGGTGCCACTCGTCCCCAATAATAACAGTGTGTTCGGTGTACCAGAAGGGCCTATTTACCAGCGCTGAATGCCCCTTATGACAATACCTCGACTCCAGAATCTCAGGATCACTGGTGCAGGCTTAATTAGAGATCCTGCAGAGCCAGACATCGGCCAGCATTCTGTATTATGCTGCTTTTTTAAAATAAGTGTTTAGTTTTTTATTCTTGCAATAAGGATCCCACATTTATGTTGGTCTTTGTTTGGCCCCGGGGGAGTCTGAGAGGACCACAGGCGTGCAGCTGAAGTGCTCTTTGTTTACGGTGCCTTTGCTCCCCCCTGTCGGGCCCTGGGATCCCCACGGCACCTGGAGCATCATTGTAACAGAAAAAAATGGGGATAGAAAGAGAGAAAAACTCCTTTTTCATTTCTCCCCTCAATGGGTCTCTCCATTGGGTCTTCTTGCACTAAAAACATGTTGATAATGAACATGCTAAATAAATACTCCTTTTTCTTCTGCGGGGACAATAGGGCTCAATGTGAAACTTTGATTCAGCCTCACCTCAAGAGAAAGTTCATCCCCTTCTCGAGGAAAGAAAACGTTTTCCTTTTCATGCGACAGCTGTTTTTGTGTCGGGGGAAAGTCAGGAAACACTGAGGACGACAAAGACACTCGGCAAAGGACCTCGAATCTCTCAATTCTTCTTTTCAGTGTATTCACCCCTTTTTTTTTACTGAGATGGAAAACTTAGGATCAGGTAATTTGACAACACATCAATCAAAGGACAATGGATATCCTGTCTTTAATGCACACATAGGCTCACCCTGACCGTTTCCCCAAACGATCAGGGCGAGCTGCAGCCAGATTTTTCCGGACTTAACCCAGACGTTTTCTTGCCAGCCCCCTAGAACAAATTCTGAGTGAAGTGGTGGCGAGGAAACGTGTGAACGCAGCAGGTAGTTTTTAGGAAAATGAATCTCCAGTGAGCGAGTAGGGATCATGAGGTTTATATCACATGATCAGTGTGCGACTGGTGCCATCATAAGTCATACAGTATGTTTTTTTCCCACCCGTTTGTTTATTCTGTGAATACGTCCAATTACATGAAGCATTGATATAGAGGCAGAGCAATGATCATGATGGACTGCTGTTCATCTGCTATCATGGATTTGCACAGCGTCTTTTTGACGTCATGTCCTGCCTCCTAAGACCCCCATCCAACAGGGACAAAATCCAGCTGTGAGGGACTTATGTGAATTTATTGAAGGATGATATAAATATTCAGTCGTGCATATGTGAAAACTGCTATAAATGTGTGTAAATGGATCCTTTCAACCTGAAAATGTAGTTTAATAACATTTTTCCAAAAATTGACTATAAATATATCTCAACAGTTGTTTTCTTCCCTCTTCTCGTCCTCTCTGTGTCTCCAGGCTGTTAAAGGAACCATGCAGAGGACATGCAAGTGCCACGGCGTCTCAGGAAGCTGCACCACTCAGACCTGCTGGCTGCAGCTGCCCGAGTTCAGGGAGGTGGGGATCTACCTGAAGGAGAAATACCACCGTGCTCTAAAGGTGGACCTCCTCCGAGGGGCGGGGAACAGCGCGGCCAGCCGGGGGGCCATCGCCGAGACTTTTAGCTCCATCTCTCGTAAGGAGTTGGTCCACCTCGAGGACTCCCCCGACTACTGCCTGGAAAACCGCACCCTGGGCTTGCCGGGCACAGAGGGCCGGGAATGTCTCAAGAAGGGGAAGAACTTGAACAAATGGGAGAAGCGGAGCTGCAAGAGGCTGTGTGGGGAGTGCGGGCTGGCGGTGGAGGAGCGCAAAGCCGAGATGGTGTCCAGCTGTAATTGCAAATTTCATTGGTGCTGCGCGGTGAAGTGCGAGCAGTGCAGAAAGACAGTGACCAAGTACTTTTGTGTGAAGAAAGGGGGTCAGAGGGGAAGGAACGAGAGCGCCGGAAGCCGCCGGAAGAACCTCAGATTGAGGAAGAAGCACTGATCATCTTCCCCTTCAACTTCTGTCGTCAAACATGTACCAATGCAGTCACCCACACTCTCGGGGGAATGCTCAGATAGTCTGCTATCGGACTAAAACTTAGCAGAAAATACAAGTTCCGACCACCGTCTCTGTCAGTTTTGTGTAAATGGTTGGAGACAGCTAGATGTGCACAGCCACATGACAGCAAAGATGAGGAGTGGAGGTCTTAAAACTTTGTAGATTTTTTTTTGGTATATATGTATTTAAGATATATTTTTATACTTTATACAACATTTGGAAAAGTCACAGCGCATTAAAAAAATAGTTTTTCTCAGTCTTCAAAAATTCCCACAAATCCATTTATTTATTTTTTACACAAAAAAAGGACTATTGAGCTTTAGCATAGTTAGCTTTTAAACTGACAACTGCCAGTCGATCAGTAATCATTGTGTATTTCGACTTAACTGCCAAGGTTTGAATTTGTGAAGGAACATTTTGGATTTTTTTTTCAAGGACAGTCTGCCCTCCCATCATCCGTCTCGCCCTGACCCCTGCTGCCCCCCTTGTTGTATTTAATTGTATATTAAATGAAGCACTTTGTACTGTACATTGTTAATTTATTTTCGCAGCGTTTAATAGTTTTTCTTTGTTGTTAGTCGCCCCTTTGTGGTATGTTTTCTGTTCAAAATGTATTGGAAGAAAAATAAATCCCTCAGTGTTACGTATCATTCAGCCTGTAGAAAGTCTTCATCCTCCTTTAACACACTCTTTGTGACATTAATGCCTCGTGGTTTGCGGTAAACACGGCCTTCCCTCTCACATTGGGCCAAGCCAACAAGAACAGAAACTTTCCAGTGTACTCTCCGTTCCATCGCGCTTTTCTCAATTTCGCCTCAACAAATACCTCCCGTTCTCCTCCTCATCATGCTAATCCTCAAAGAGCCCCCTCACTCCCAAGCGCTTGGAAGTTTCTTTACTGTTTAATACTAGTTTAATTAACTTTGTCCAGGCGGAGCAGGGCCGTGGGGGTGGAGGGCATGAGGCAAGTTGCCCTTAAAAAAATCATCCCGCCTCTAATTTTGTATGCTAATCTCCTTTTTCACGCCGCACCTCCTTAGGAGTGGGGGAAAGAAATGTTGGGAAAACTTTGGGTTGCCTGTGCAAGGCTTCCTGCGGCTGTTTTATTTCTGGGCCCACCTATTTGGATCCTTTCACTCCTCTAGGGCCTTCCTTTGCTCGATTTAACAATGAATGCAGAGCTAATCAGCTCTCTCGGAAATGCACCACTGTCGAGGAAGGTAATCCCTTCTTCTCTGCTCTCAATGGGCCGTCGCCTTCTAAAGGACTTTGGGAAAAGGCTTTGCACAGATTCACACTGTTCTCTCAAAAGAAGTTAGTTCAAGTATTGTGCCCAAACAAGTGGGTTTTATAAACACATGCTTGCCAGGATACTCACCCCACCTGTGAGTAAGAGGTGCCAGGCCAAGGCGGACTTGCACATGGCAGCCGAGGCCGAAACCCTTCAGATTAGATGGGACATGAAAGAGGAGATTAGAGGGCCCATTGAGAAGGGGGCGTTCATTTTTGCACCTTCCTCCATTTACTCAATAAAGTGTCAAGGAAACACCTTGTTGACATCTTATTTACCGAATAATGATCATAATCAAAACTCCTCCCTCCTCTGATGACCCCTGTGGTCTGTCTGGATCACTCTGCCCGGCATGTGCAAATACCCCTCTCTGCAACAAAAGACCCCGCATACCATGATTTTTTTCCCCTGCGGCTCTGTGGAAAGCAGCAGTTTACTGTCGTAGGGGGCATACAAATGTTCATTCAGCATATTTAGGGGGCAAGGCAAAGTTATAATAATGATTTAAGATTACATTTAATAGATTCTTCAAAAGTGGTCTAGAGTGTGCACTATTTCTGCATATCGTCTGTCACAGGCTGGCTCACTCTTACTCTCGTGTACTCTCAAAAACAAATAGTGCTGACACAGCCACAAGTTAACCTGTGGGAAAGCCTGGCAGAACAACGTGTTTGTACATGTCTTTAATGTTCAGCAGTTTGACACACCTGTGGCACACTCAGTCAAAATCAGTTTTGCATCCGTGGAAGAGATAAAAGAAAGGGCAAGAGGTTGGTAATGTTTGAAGATAACCCAGTGTTTAACCAGGCCACCTGACATCACCAAATGTATTCATCTAACTTTATATAACCTCTAATTACCTCATGATACATTACATAAGGAGCAGGTCTAGACCACACTCTTTGTAATGACCTGACATTAATCTACCAATGAGCAAGCACTTGACAACAAGTCAAGGAAAAGCTTCCTTTAACAGTCAGAAAACTCAAACTGAACCAAGACTGTTTCGTTATCAGCCATGTGGCTCAACCATGTTGGCAGAGAAAGGTAGAGGTCATCTATGCTACAGTATACGATTTGTCTGTTTATTTGTTCAAAGTGTAACGTTACACACTATAACGTGGCTATGCTAGCTTAGCAACACGGTGTCATCCCTTCATTTGTAAACTTTAAAAGTGATCAAGTAAAGGAGAAAACTGGAATGGACACATGGCAATTTGTTTTTATTGACTTATTCTCAACTTTTGAGGCTAGTAAGGTAAGTGTTAGGTAAAGGGGGGGGGGGGGGGGGAGTGTTAGGTGGGGGTGTTTCTTCTGGAATTGTTCAATGATGAATTCAGTCGACTGACTGTAGATTATTTTCAGACAGGCTCAATGCTCAAGCCAATGATCGTTGAAGTGTGCAAGTTTAAGATAAAAAGATACGTCCTTCGCCCTACTGCAAAACCACACAAACGTACAGGGGAAGAGAGATGCAGCAGCTGAAACGCACTTCAGAGCAGCGTGTGAAACAGCACACAAGGTCGATCATGATTCAGACTACATAACTTGCCCCAACCCAGAGAGTGACACGACCTCCGACCGAGGGGTCTGAACTTCCGTCTCCCAGCCCGGCTCTGCCACCTTCAATTTGATAGAGCACATGAGCGGGAGGTGGTGGAGAGAGAGAGTCGACACCACAGAGGAAGAGCAAAGGGTTTGAAGTAACCTGTTTTAACCAGTTTGAACTTTTCTACAAAACAACACAGGTTATTGATTGAAATCTGTCTTCTTTTAGAGACGGCAGGCATTAAAAGAGAGGTGGAAATCAAACTTTGACTTTTCAACAGAAGCAGAGTTTGTTTTTCTTTACTCACAATGAAACTTTTCAGGCTATGCATCTATTTCTCAAACATTGAATTTAGACATATAGAAATGAATACACGCATGCAGCAGATTTCTCTCAGGTAGCGAGTGACAATGCAATCAATGAGAAGATGGGAAAACGACTTAATAATGCTTCAGAAATTCCTCGACTAATAGGATTTATGGCTTAGGGGTTCTGGACCTACAACACCTAAAGGGGCGAGGGTCAGTGTGAATGTGAGAGAAAGCCATTAGAGATGAGTAACAGAGGAGAGGGACGTCCAGCAAGTGTTTAACCAAACTAGAAGAATCTTTTGTAATGTGTATTATAACAAAATGTCCATTTGTTAACAATCATTGCGACGAGTTGTAAGTTGTGTTAGCTGCAAGTCACAAAGCACACATACTAAGTGTACTTAAAGCTTCTATGAGGAGATTTCTGTTGGTTAGGAAATAGACTGAAATGAGTTCTGTTGCTTCTTTATGAGCGACAAAGATGAACAAAACCATCAGCATAACGATTGCTTTCTTCTTTAAAGTTGTTTTTCATGTCTAAAACTGCTGCCAGGGGGTAGGTGTCAGACAACGTGATTAACAGCGCACTGCAGTAACAGCCTTTATTTTTGACATTATCCACAGAAAAGCTGAGTGGTACATTTGACTGTTTGAAGACAGCAGGATAGGAGCTTTAAGAAAGAAGCTTTTTTAGGAATTTGTACTTTACTTGAGTGTTTATTTTTCAAAAAACGTATTAATTCTTCTTTTTATTGATTTATTTTGGGGCCTTTTACGCCTTTATGACAGACAGGACAGCGGATAGAGTCAAAAATCAGGGAGAGAGAGATAGTGGGGAATGATTTGGTTGGATTCCAACCGGGGCTGCCCGCTTTTGAGGACTGTAGCCTCTGTACATGGGGCGCATGAACGAATCACTAGGCCATGCACCGGCATCCCAACTTTTTACCTCTACCCATACATTTTATCTCTGCTATCACTTCTTTCTCCTCAAGTCACTCTGAAAACGGGTTCATTTTAAAGCTTGAATTTATTCATTATCTACATATTGCACCGTTCTCCACACTTCCCTCTAAACATTAAGATGGATGAACTATATCAGTGCCTTTCACTTTCCTCTAAACTATGTAAGACGGATTTTCAAATAAAAGAGAGGGAAACTCCATTGTGGAGAAGAGGCGTCTAGTGAATGTGACTTTGTGTGAATCGTGAGAAAAGACATGTAGCCACATGCACGATAAATATGCCAGCAATTACTGCAGGCAATGTCAGAGCAAATTCAGAGCAATGAGACACTGCCTACCAAACTGATTTGCATATTTGGGGCAAAGTTCAGCTCTTGTTTTGTTCTTGTTAAGAAAGAAAAAAACTCAAATCTATTGACTCGAGCACTATGATTGGCTGTTACACTCTGCAGGCAACGCTTGATTTACTCTCTGTTTCAGTGGTTATTTATTAAAAGTATTTTGGGTGTTCTTTAACTTAATTGTAAGATTGCATGATTTTGGTTAACTACTCTTTGAGGTTCAGTTAATTTTGCACTAAAACACGCGGCAGAAATGTCCTTCAGGCGGCTTCTTATTACGTTTTACTGAGTACATCTCAGAGTGTTTTCCTTTTTCTTTTTTACTACATTTTAGAAGAGTAGTTTGATCAGCTCTTCTACTTTTAATCAGGACTTTTTTTTTTTTGAATCACAAAAGTATCTGTATATCTACTTCAGTAAAAACGAGTATTCTCCAGTCATATCATGGCTACATGCTCAATTAGAAAGTGAATGTTTGCAGCAGAAATCAGGAAAGTGTTTCATGGTAACTGTAGCTCCTCCAGAGAGTCTTTGTTTTGACAGCAGTGAATCTGTTGGGAAGGAGACGGTGGTTGTGTATGTGTTTGCTACTATCAGCGGGATGGAGATAGCAGCTTCTTGAGACACACCCGGGTGGTCGATCTCCCAGCTGAAAGAATGGAGAGAGAGAGAGAGAGAGAGAGGAGCATCGGAGGGATCAGCTCAGCTCACTGATCAGCACAGGAAACTCAGAACATGGGAAACCCAGCAGGGAGCCGTACTAGTCTCTGCTGTGGAAATCTGCTGATAAAGCCTGACTCAAGAGAAAACATACGGCATGTGTCAGGTTTTTAGAGCAAATTCAAGGAGAGCTTTTGGACCTCTTAAAAAAGAGTAGCAATGATCAAAGTGAAGATAATCTTGATAAGATGTTCTCCATCTAGTTCACTTCCACTCGCTGACAAAACAGAGCCAGGCTCCATCAGCTGATCAGTCCACTGAGCAAGGTACAGTGTACACAGTTATCTGCTGAGGAAACAATCAGTGTATAATCAATATGATTATGCTGAAGCAGTGATAACAAAAGTTAATTATTGGTTGGGGATTTCAACAATGTTTGCTTAATCTTTCATTGCCACTACTTGAAAAGAAGAAGAGGGAGAGAACGTGTTGTGATGTGTATTTAACCTAATCGATCACGGCTTCCTACTGTACAGGTATCACATCGGATGGTTTACTTCAGTTCAAATAGTGAAACCAACATCTACGACAAATCCAGCATGT